TCTCCATCACTTTCTCAAGTCTAGATAATCAACAGAACAATAAATCAAGCCCTGATTTTTAGTGCTTGCTGATTTTGAGACATTTGCCAGTTTCTTAGGTATAAATACTAGTACTGAAAATTTAACAGTTGACTCTATCCAAGGCACAAGCTGACTGCAGCATACCCCTGGATGCTACATGATCCCTAAAGTTCCTTCATCTCCAATATTCTCTGCTTTAAGGTCCCCCCCCACCTCTAATCTTCCATGATTACATATGGGATTAATGGAATTTGACTTACTAAAAGAAAATGTGGCCATTCCAGTCTCTTGGCACAATGTGGGATGGAAAGAACACTAGCAAATTAGTAAACCTGGGTTCGAATTCTAACTTGGTTATTAGCTTACAGTGTGAAAATCATAAGCCACCATCCCTTTTCAGACTGTAATTCCTCCCCCTGCTTTTTCAAAAGAGGTATAAATTAGATGCCCTTTAAGGTCTCTCTAGTGTTAACAGTCTCTGGTTTCCATTGATGTTCACTATTTCATTTAGCTTCTCATGCTCATCACTTTTTTTTTTGCTCCAAGAATCAGAGGCAAATTCCAAAGGAGTGAATGGAATTTGGCTCTCTCCAATCTCCTAGCTTGCCCTCCCTGCAGCCAGTTCACTCCTGAGGCTCTCCTGCTGCTTGCCAGAACCACTGGAATTTCCCAACAGCCTTCAACATCATCTTTCCTTCCTAGGGCTCCAGCTAAGCAAAAACTTCCAGCCAAGTGCTGAGAGGCTATCATTGCCCAAGATGGAAATGTAGCATGGCTCAGTGGAAAGAACTCTAGATTTAGAGCCAGAAGTTCTTGGTTCAAATCCTTTGTTATTTGTTTACTCCAAGAAGTCACTTTTCCCCTCTGGGCCTCAGTTTCCTCCACTGGTCAAGATGATCCCCAAAGTCCTTCCCAGTCCAAAATCCTATGATCCTAGGAGTTAAGGGCATGGAAATGGTCCAAAATATATTTGAAATGGAAAACCAACCCCAAAGGAACCATGAGGGACAAGTGGGGGAGGGGTACTCCTGCTGGCAAACAGTTTTTTTCCACCTTCCTTCAGCAGAAATTAGTTTGCTTCTGCTTGCAATGGCTCCCTGGCTCACTAGATCACTCCCAGAAGAATATTCACATTCATACAGCTGTATGTATTTTACTGTAAGGCAAGCCTTTATGGTGAAGAAAAAAAGATTACTTATAGACATCAAAATAATTGCTTTTTCCAATATAAATGGAGATTTCAGAGACTCAGGAAAGTATGAAGAAAAAACCTCAGCATGTATGTGGGGTAAGGATTCAGAGTTTCCTAGGATTTGGTCTCAGAAGGAATCTTAGGAATCATCTCACCCAGGGTTGGGGAACATGCACATGTGGCCTTTTAGGTCCTCAAGTGTGGCCCTTGACTTGTCCAAGGCAACACAGGTAGTCAAAAGCAGATCCTGCTCTTATAAGTAGTCAAACGACGTGAGCAAATAGTTCTTCTCAAAAGTACTGCAAACTATTAACAACCATATGAAATACTGCTTCAACTTACACATAAGAATAAAACAAAGCAAAAAAAATACAGAGATTTCACCTCACACCTAATAAATTGACCAAGATGACAAAAGATGAGAATTGTCCATACGGGAGGGGTTGTGGAAAGCTAGGCACACTAATTTACTGCTGGTGGAACTGTGACTTTGTCCACTCATTCTGGAAAGTATTCTGGATCTATGCTTAGAAAGGGACGAAAATGTCCACACCCTTTGACCCAGAGATTACATTGCGAGGTATATATCCCAAGGAGATCAATGATAGAAAGGCCCAATGTATTTATAGTGGCAATTTCTGTTGTAGTAAAGACATCTGCAGATGTCCATCATTTGGGGGCAATGGCTCAACAAACTGGCACATGAATATAAAAGAGTATTACTCCACCATCAGAAATGATGAATAAAAGTAACACACGAGGACATGGAAAGACTTAGATGAACTGATGAAAAGTGAAGAAAGAAGGGGGCAACTAGGTGGTGCAGTGGATAGAGCACTGGCCCTGGATTCAGGAGGACCTGAGTTCAAATCCGGCCTCAGACACATAACACTTACTAGCTGTGTGACCCTGGGCAAATCACTTAACCCCATTGCCTAGCCACCCCCCTCAAAAAAAAAAAGCGAAGAAAGAAGAATCAAGAAAACTGTATACACAGTGACTACAGCAATGTAACTGGGAAGAATGATTACAATTAATGTGAAAAATGGACACTTTGTAATTATCATGACCAAGCGTGATCCCAAAGAGATATGAGAATGCATCTTCTTCTGTCTTTGTAGAGATGAGGGCCTATGGAGGGGGAACACAGCACGTACCGTCAGATTTGATTCATGTGTTAGTCTTGCTGAACTGCATTTTACCTCTCTTTTAAAAAAGTCTTTATTATAAGGGATGGTCGGGGGGTTCGGGGATATATTAGGAAAGGAAGGTCATCCAAAAAGACAAGATATCACTTTTTTTTTTTTTAAAGCAGAGCCTGGGATCCAAACCCCCTCCCCTTTTTTTTTCCTGACTCCAGATCCAATATTCTTTCTAGTACACTGTACTCATTCTTATGCATCAGGGGAGGGAAGAGACAAAGAGGGTTGGGAAGGACAGGAATCTAGACAAGGTCCTTAATAATAGCTGATTTTTGTTTGGTTGCCAGATGTAAATAAATGACACATGTTGTTTCTAAAATCTTCCCCTTCTCTCTTTGCCTCCACAATTAGGGTCCTTTCCTGTTATTTCCGTGCCGTCCAAAGTCCTGTTATTTATAAATCAGTATAAATTACTTTTGATCTACAGATTTTTTTGGGGAAAGGGGTGGGGGGAAGACTAGAATCAAAGGCCTACCCAGAAGAGACTGGGGGTCTTGCTGCCTTTTAAGAGCTGAGTGACAAAGCAGTCTCTGTCACCTCTGACTACCTGTTTTCACAGGCTGCTGCTCTCTCCTGGTCTCTCACTTCCATCTTTTCTTCCCAAATCTTCACCATAGACTCTGGGCATTAAGGACAGTGAAGCAGTATGAAACTGTGGATAGGGTGCTGGTCTAGGAGTCAGGAAGACCTGGGTTCAAATCTCACTCAGATCCATACTAGCTGTGTGACCCTACATAAGTTACTTAATTGCTCCATGCCTTAGTTTCCTCATCTGTAAAAAGGAAGGTTTTGTTTTATTTATTTTTTCAAAATCTATGATCCAATGATTCCCCAAATACCAACTTGAAACTTTGTTAATATGATCTACTCTTGGAACAAAGGGTCAAGTGAGTCAGAGCAAAAGTCCAAATGAAATGCCTAGAGACCACCAAGCTAAATGCCCAGGAACCACTGACTAATCACCAGCTAAATGTTTCTTAAAGAGATTAGGAAAAAGCTGCCTAATTAGACAAAGGAAAGAGTTTTCTGGCCCCTGGGAGTTTGCCACCCACTAACCTACACCAGGAGTAAGCCCTGCTCTTACACATAAAAGTCATCTGGAGAAAATGCAGCCTATACTGACTTCTTTTTCCACAAGGATCTTTTAAACACAAAAGAAGCACTTATCTGTCTGGAAGGGGATAGATAATAACAATCCACATGGATACAGCTTACTGAGAAAAAAGCTTATTTCAAAACGACAGTAGGAAGGTAAAACAAGCATTATTTTTACATGTTACGGTGAAGAAACTGAGGTTTAGGAGTAAGTACTCCCCATCCCAGAGACAGGTGAAAAAATGAGGATCATAAAGCTGGAACATAGACACCATCTAGTCTAAAGCTTTCATTTTTCAGACGAGGAAACTGAAACCCAGAGTCTTTCTCCAGGTGACTCAGGGGCCACATGGGGACAGAGACAGGAGCTCTACCCAGGCCTTTCCATTTCAAGTTCAATGCTCAGCTCATCACTTGGATTCTATAAACTTTACAATAGGATAGAGGAGGGGAGGGAGGTGACATAGCTACTGATGTTCCCATAAACTTTTCTCTAAATATTTTCCTAGACAAACACTTCTTCACCACTTGTGTGCTTGGATTTGCTCAGTAATAGAAGGTTAATAAGCTCACGGGCCCTGAATATGACGGTGAGGGCCTGGGAAATCAAACGTTGTTCTCCTCTTGAGTTCTGCTTTAGTTGACCAAGCTTCTCTAAATGAGCTGCCTCTGTAGCTGTGACACCCGGGAAGATGTTTGATCTGTACCCTCCCCCCTAAACAACAAGAACTCATTCTCTGATCTCGATTAGTTTTGCCCCCTTTGTGGCTCTGAGGTGGTGGTTTGAGGGTGAGACCAGCGGAGAAAGGTTTTAAAACTTCTCTCCATTTCCTGGCTCATTCCCCGACTTCTTAGAATCTTTCTAAATGAGACCCCTGACTCCATGCACTAGCTGAATGAGAAGATTAGGGAAGAGACAACAGGGGGGGAAGAAGGAATGGAAGAGCAAGGAGCAGAATAGAAACTTTCACCAGACCCGAGACTGAGGGGGAAGGGGTGTGTGGGGTGAGCGGCTTCCCCCCCCCCCCATGTCAATGGGTTGGATTAGAAGAGACCTTTAAAGTCCCTTCCATTTCTAGAGCATCTGATCCTAAGAGTCAGCCTAACCACCTCATTTCACACAGGAGGAAACTGAGTCGGGAAGGGATGATTTGCCCAAGGACCCCCTCCCTCTTCTGCCCTTTGGCAGGGGCTACAACTGCCTGCCATAAATGGGGAGGGTGTCAGTGTGTCCATCTGCCAGTCCTTTCGGCAGCTGTGACCCAGGACTCGGTGAGCTCAGGCTGATGGGCAGAAAGGGGTGGGGGAGGGTGAGGAAGGGTGGTGGTGGGGGTGTTGCAGAGACCGGGAAAGGGACTGCGGGGAAGAGAGATGGAGCGTTTTCCCTTCCCCCACCCTCCATCCCTCATCCTTATCCTCTTCTCCGCCCCCCAATCCCGGACCCCCGTCCCCTGTCTTCCCGCAGTCCGCCTCGCGCTGCGTCCCCTTACCCGGGCACACGCAGCCGGCCGCGGTCCTCTCCATGCGCCCTGAGCTCCTGGGAGACACCGCGGGGGGCGGAGAGGGGGCCAGGCGTCTCTCCTTCTCTGCCTTCTCCGCCGGGCTGGGCGGGGCGCAATGGAACTGGGCGGGGCGGGGCCCGGCTCCCGTGGGCTCGGGCCCGGGGAAGAGAGGCCGGAGAGGGCAGCCGGGAGCCAGCGGCGAGCCGAGTGAGAGCTGGGCGGGGGGCTGCCGCTCGCATCCGCCTAAAAGCGCCCAGGGCGCATCTTGGCCACGCGGGATGCTGAGTCCCCTGGGGCCGGACCAGGGGTGGACCTGGGTGCCCTCCTATCCCTTGCAGTCTAGCCCATACCCCGGGGGGGCGGGGGGCGCAGGGAAGCAGGGGAACCCTGAGCTGCCTCCTTCAGGGCGAGCTCCGAGCTGGGCCGCTGGCCGTGGCGAGCGACGGCCGCCGGGATCGCTGGCCGCCGCCCATCGCCCCTTCTTTCCTTCTTTCCCTGGCCGGGTGCCTCGAGAGGCGCAGTGGTGTGCGGTGCCCCCGCGCTCGCTCCGGCTCCAGCTCCGCTCCGAGGCTCCGGTGCGCTTGGCTGCTCCGCCCTGGCGGCGCCTACTCCGGGGCCGACAGCTTCACCCCGCGGGATGTGTCACATTTGAAAGAGTTCAGGGGAGAAGGGAGAGGGAGGGACACGCGCGCGCGCACACACACACTGTACACACACACACTGTACACACACACACACACACACACACACACACACACACACACACACAGATTAGAGGAGACAATCAGACGCTCCAAGAGAGTGAGACAAGGGGAGACAAACACACACATAAAGGGAGAAAAGGGAGAGACCTGAGTAGATGCAGATGATAGAGAAAGGGAGAAAGGAGCCACCCCTTCCACCGGGAGACGAGGGAGGACAGACAGGTTGAGAAGGGGGGGGGGGCTGGGAAAAGCCTGAGAGCGGGAAGGGGGCAGGGAGAGGACAGAAAGACGGGATGGGGGCGGGGGAGGTGCCGCAGGATCTGCAGTAGCTGTGCCCGGGGAGGAGGGAAGGGCAGCTGCCTCCTGAAAACAAACTCAATTGCTCCGCAAAGAAGGTTGGGGTGGGGGTAGGGTAAGGGTAGGGGTAAAGGTGGGGGTGGGGATGGCTCGGGAGAAAGCTACTCGAGTGCCAAGGTTTCTTAATTAGTTGGTTGGGCTCTGGTGGCAGTGGTTTAAGTAGACCTTCGTAGAATCACAGAATATCAGAGATGAAAGGCATCTTGGAACCTGCAATGTGAAAGCCCAAAGGGAATTTCGGATAGAAATGTTAGAATATGGGATGTTAGAACTGGAAGGGACCTTTGACAACATCGACCTTTTTGTGTCAGTTGACCCTCCTGGCAGTCTGGTGAAGCCTATGGACCCCTTTTCAGAAGAATGGTTGTCAGTTCATAAATAAAATACATAGGATTGCAAAAAAAAAATACATTATATTGAAATAGTTATTAAAATACTTTTTTTTAAAAAGCAAGTTCATGGACAACTCTTCTCCCATTTCCCCATTAATCTAAGTTCCTTATTTTGCAGGAGAGGAAACAACTTTGAGAAGTTAAGTGACTTGCTTAAGGTCACACAGCCTTTTCCTATCCCTTTATGAGATCTCAGGCAAAATATAACATTCCTTCAAATGCCAACCATTCCTCCCCGCCCCCCCCACCTCATGTGCTTAGCCAACCCCTGGGTTTACCAAAATACAGAAGAAAAGGTGGAGGCAGTGTGAAACTTTGGCCTAAGGTCTAGGAAATGTGGTTTCTGATTGAGACTGCTGTCTTAAACCTGGACACGTCACTTGGGTGTTGGGGAAGGAGGAGGAAAATGATGTGGTGGAGTACAGAGAGGGCAGCTAGGTGGTGGAGTGGATACAGCTCCAGGCCTGGAGTCAGGAAGACCGAAATTCAAATCTGACTTCTGACACTTTTACTAGCTGTGTGATCCTGGGCAAATCACTTTACCCTGTTTGCCTCAGTTTCCTCATCTGTAAAATGAGGTGAAGAAGGAAGTGGCAAACCACTCCAGTATTTTTGCCAAGAAAACCCCAAATGGGGTCATGAAAAGTCAGACGTGACTGAACAACGACAGAATATATGGCACACAGAATTTTGAGTCAACAGACTCCAACTGGGTTTGAATCCCAGTTTAGCTATTTCCTCTCTGTGACTTTAGGCAAATAATTTCTCCTTTCTTAGCTATTGTTTCTCATTTGTAAAATGAGATGACTTCCAAGGTCCCTCCAAGTTGAAAATCATAATATGTATATTTACGTTCTCTGATCTGTCTCAATGACCTGATGGGGTGCTTATGTGGCTGAGATGAAGGCCCTAAAATGTTGCATGCTTTCCAAAGGGACACAGATGCAGGGAGAAGGGAAGGGCTAAAAGGTGCCTCTCTGGTGTAGGCTGCATTCTTACCTTTGTCCCTAGCTATTCATCTACCTAAGGTCCTCCATCCTCAGAGGAAAACAAGAGGTAGAACTGACTGAATTAAATGTTAATATTCCAAGTCAATGTGGAGTACTTTACTGAGGGAGGGGGACTTCTTAGTCAAAAACGATTATTGAACAAGAGAGCTGTTCAACACCTCCTTTCCCACTTCCTACCTGGGGGCAGAAGCTTCCTCTCCCATCTCCTGCCTGAAGTGTGGAGGGTAATCATCATCATCATCATCATCATCATCATTATCATCACTTATATAGCACCTGAAGGACTTTAATAATATTAATTATAAGAGCTAAATGTTTTACAAATATAATTTAATTTTATCTTCACAACAACCCTGAGAGGTAGATGCTATTATTAGCCGTATTTTATGGGAGATACAGAAATGGGGATACTGAGGCAAACAGGTTAATTGATTTACCCAAGGTCACAGTTGGTGCCTGAGGTAGAATTTGAATTCAAGTCTTCCCAACTCCAAGCCCAGCCCTTCTATCCGCTGTATCAGCTAATGGGATAGTCCTCTGAAGAGAGTGAATTACCACCCAGTCAAGCCAATGGCTAAAAGTAGGAAAAAGACTTCAGTTGACTACTGAAGACTGAGCCCAGGGAGCCCAGTGGATTGACCCAACCAGCAGAAATGCTGCATCCTGGGAAGAGCCCAGTGGTCAAGCAACATCACTGTCTTGACTCAGCCCAGATGAGCTTGGCAGCAGTAACCCAGTGGCAGAGAGCTTATTTGTTCCTATCTAGTAGCCTCTAGACTGCTAACCTCTAGCAGTAACCTCTGCTCAATGACAATCTTAATCATCACTTTGAGCACCTCACGCCCATTAAGGCAATATGGCACCCTTCTTATGACCTTATTATGGTGGGTTGGTACACAGACCCCAGTTTTGCAAGTTTCACCCCTTATAAGCCTTGGACAATTGATTTATTTGATGGGAGCTCAGGGAAGAAAGTTTTTCAGTTTTGCGACCCAGACTCCTCCAGCATCATCTTGCTAAATAAGCGTCAGAGTGGCTTACACAATCCATCCAGCAGCAGCCTTAGCTGCTGTGAACCAGCATCACTGCCTAGCTATGTGCTTGAGCCCCAAAGTGGCCTTTACAGCTGAGACATGTTACCTTGTGAGAAGTCAGCCCATCTTAGCCACCTGTCTAGTGAAGAAAGCATTCCCTGAGATAAGCTACAGCAGTTAAATACCAGAAACAACTTGTCTTTCACTGATGCCACACTCCACAGACAAGATTGTGTTGACCCTGAGGAGAAAGAAAAGGCAGCAAGTAATTCCAGTAATTCCAGAATTATTAGTTACTTTGGCCATGCATGCTCACTACATGTGTGCCTCACTTTATATTTAGTCCAACTCTTCCCCCTGTGGACTCTGTATGTGTGTGTGTCTGTGTGTGT